AAATGCATTAAGAAAGTAATGCACTTTTTTTTTGTAGTTTTTAATGCTTTTTTGCATTAATGCATTCGTGCATTCGTGCATTCGTATGTCCTCATACACTTGCTAACATTAAAATAATTCTCGAAAATAAGTATAGATTTTTATATAAAAGTGCATTACTTTCTTAATGCATTTCCATAACAACTCTGTACTGTCCCTGTGTTAACAACCGATAAACCATATTGTAATGAACACGTATCGTATTGTCGTTGCTAAGTAACATCAATTACATAGCACTCTTGTATACTTACTTACTTACTTACTTACTTACTAAAAAGCAAATAGAAACTAATGCATTTTAAGTTCTGGTTATTAAAAATAAACAAGAAATTTATTTGGAAAACTAAATCAAACAATAAATAGAATACGAGCAAATATTTTGGGAATGCGTATATGTTTTCGTGAAAAATTTATTATTTGCAATAGTCAACCGCAGTTAGTAGTCAAAAGGCGAATTAAAAAAGGAGAAAAAAAAAAGAGATCAGTATTCCTGTATTCTGCTGTTCCTGCTTTCTCTCCTTTCTGTTTTTTTTGTGCTTCATTTAATATTTTTGCGTAATTGCGACGGCTGCAATGGTGAAAACGGTAATTGTTTAAATTTCAAATACAATGTGAAAATGAGCTAATGGGAATTACATTATGCAAGGGTTGTGGTTATGGTAACAATGATACTCGGAATAAGTGCTGGTGCTGTTGTTGGTATTGTTATTGCTGTTGCTGTTGCTCTTGTAACAATAATCGCCCGCATAACAGGTAAAAAGTAGTAAGCTGCATAAATAACTATGACAGTCTGACAGTCTGACAGTCAATTTTATAATAACGCGTTTTACTATATTAGTGTTGGTTTAGATCCAGAAAAAAAAATGCGTATATTGTTATTGGGGCTGGCAGGAAGTGGCAAAACCGAAATTGCCCATCAACTAATAAAAGCCAAACGTCATGATTATCAGGCCACTAACGGGGCGCACAGCTACAACATAATACATAGCGATACCGTTTGTTCATTAACGGAAATTGGCGGTAATGAGGATATGCAAAAAATTTGGCATCATTACTATGTGGGCGTAAGTAGCATTCACATAACGCATGCACACGCATTTTTTTCTTTTTTTTTTTCATTTTTTTATTTGCATTTTTTTATTTGCATTTTTTTTTTGTTGTTTTTTTTTGTTTTTGTTGTGTTTGTTGTTTTCTTTTTTCCCAATTTTTCAATTTTCAATGTCCTTTTTAGACAATGGCTCTCATCTATTGTTTTGATATGTCTACCACGTATACAGAATTGAAGCGAGCTTTCTGTTTGCTTAACGAAATATTGCAAAATTGTTATATGAGTGGGAAGCCAGTTTTACTAGTCGCCACGAAATCCGATATAGTGGATGAAAGTATTCAATGGTACGACATTGAAAACACATTTCAAATGGAAGCGATGGCCCGTACTTACGGCAGCACCATAAAACTGTGCTATTCTAATGTCAACACAGATATGGCGAGAGTCGAGAGGAATTTCAATTTAAATTTAATGGCCGGCATTGATTGGTTATTCAAGTATCTATTGGACAATTTCAGTATCATACAAATGCGTTTAAATTGTGATCGAAATATGCAAGTGAGTTGGAAAGCAATTAATTTGCTTTTGTTTCTCTTCCTTTTATTTTTCATTTTTCAATTTTTCTTTTATTTTTTTTTCATTTTTTTTTTTTTTTTTTTTTTTTGCATCATTTTGCTAATGTTGGCCCCCATGTTAATTCTTCTTCTTCGTCTTCGTCTTCGTCTTCTTCTTCTCATTCTTTCTCTTTTTCCTATTTTTGAATACCCTTTAGAATTGGGAGGTACAACGGAATAAATTAATTGCCGAAGGTAAATTAAATCTTCGCAAATACCAACGCTTTCCAAGACGATCGAGCAGACAAAAAATCTGGCGTTATACGCATAAACATTTGCGGCATTCTTCACGTAGACCGCGCACAGCACCGGCCGCATCATTTAGCACGTGGTCAACAGCGTTCGACAATCAACGTACAATGGTCGCAACGGATTCTCATAACTACAGATCCGCTTCGTTGGAAACGACCAATTCCATTCCAGTCTTAGTGCCAAATGCTATATGTAACGGTGACATTAGGCATCCAGAAGAAATAACAACTGGCGTTTAATACGGAATAACAAACGATACACTTAATATGTTTTATCTAAAAAAAAGCTCAAACTCGTAGTTTCGATTACGAGACATTAAATAAATTACGTTTTAGAAAAAGTGAAAATTTCGAAAATTTTCTTGATGACCGTTAACAACTTAGTGATTGATAAGAAAAATTCTACCCTTATGGAGATTAATTTTGGGGCTTTCGTAATTGTTTCCGCCTTGCCTTCGGGTCACAACTACTATATAAGGAATAATCGTCATAATGGACGACGGATAAGTAATCAGTATATAGGAAGAAAAGTTCGTAGTCATACGGACAAAGTCGGCAAGAAATCCTTTTCCCCTAACATCATCGATCAACAAAGATTGCATCAGAATCTTCAATATTTAGTTTAAACGATGCCTAAGTAGACCATGTCAATAACTAAATCATTATAAATGGAACGAAATGGCTTCACAATCACCTACGACGAGTCAAGATAATTTAAAGTCTTAGCCTTAACTTAATGGAATTATTGCTCATTAAGAGAAAGTTAGGAGATAATTGATTTTAAATGAGGACAATCTGCCCAGAAATGTCAACAAGCGAAGCTAGCAATAATATGCCTTTCCTGTCCTAACAAATAGACTAACAAGGACCTTTTGGAAAGAAACTTAAATGAATGCCCATTTCTTAATCTTTTTCCATAGAAATCACCAAATAAAACGCGAATAAATTGAGGGCATACTTCAAAGGTAACCAAAAATGTTTTCATATGATTAGGACTCAAATGAGAGAGTTTGGCTATCAGCAAATGAACACTAAAATCCCTGAAGCAATTCGTTTTATTGCATTTAATAATTAAATGTAAATATTTGACATTTTCAAAAAGCTGTAGAGCAACGCCCCATTTTAAGGACAAGACAATAGCGTGGAAATAATTCATTATTCCCTTCCTTGCATTATTTAAAAAAAAAAAAAAATCCTATAAAAAGCTAATAAGCCTTGTACTTTTAATCCAACCAAATATTCACTAAAGCTGTATATTTAAGCTGACAATAACATGCATTATGAGTTTGTTTCACATTGAAAGCTTTTTGCGAAAAGGATATTTTAACAGGCGTCAAGTTTAGCTAAATTTCGCAAAAACAACTTATTCGAAAAGCTCTGGCTGTGTCAATTAGAGGTAAAGCTTAAAAGCTTTATTCACCAACGCCGTAGATTGCTCGCCATCGCTTTCACAAATGAAAACCAGTTGTCTCCCTCGGCCAGCAACCATTTAAGTGAAAAACATAAAGGTAAGTGAGAAAGTCATGCACAGTTTGGAGTTAATCCGGGATACCTCAAGCTAAAGCAATTCTTTTCATGGATTGAGACGGTTTTCTTATATATAAGATTTTTGGTGGCCGCTAGAAATGACATTATCCAGGACTTTTTCACAATAGTTCATATAAAGGACACTACGATGTTATAAATTAATCAGATTTAAATTGCACGTCCTGTCGCACAAGTGGTGTAGGATATGAAACGGGCTCGAGATGGTAAATCCGTTTAATACACGCATACACATTGGCCATTTATCCGGTATCGTGTGATTTCATTACAGCGAATACCAAAGTTCGCTTTTGAATAGAAATGGGTCTTGAGATATGGAAGTCATCTCGGCTCAGAATGTCAGGTACAACAAGTTTCAATGATAGTCACAGATAAATGCAAATATTTTTTGCTTGGCTTTTGTTAATGAGTAGAACATGTCTACTTTGTCTATTTATATAACTATTTATATGCTTTTTACCTCCTACCAATCTTATCCACGCGTGCGCACCTCGATAGGAAAAAAAAGCAAAGTTACAAGTAAGAGCCTCGTATTCGTTCGTTACCGAATCGTTTATACCCATCACGGTTATATTAACAAAAAATAAAGAAAAGGGGAGGCACTCAATTTTCTTACCCTATAATATTGGATGGGCGTGGCTGATTTCTTCTTTTTTTTTTGTAATAATAGTAGACATTGTTATGGCGTAAGTGTTGCACTTTATGAGCAGCAAGCAAAAAATCTGGAAAACCGAGGTTTACACGCTGTTTTGTGCATAGACGTGTGGGCGAGTGTAGGTGAGTGCTTTGACCGCCTTAGGTCATTTTGATATTCCTTTGTAGATCTGTCTGCTGTAGTCCGTCAGTAATGAACAAGAAAACAATTTCCCATTCCTTTTAACAAACAGAGGCGTCTTATTTTTGTGGGCGTGTTCCCCATCCGGTGTGATCAATACCAATCTGCGTGTACGAACTACCAATGCAGCCGAATTTCAATTCGATAGATCTACTTTTACAAAGCCAAAGGGACGTTTACAGCACACATTACATAGTGGGACAGACGGATATGCCTAAATCGATTCCGAATTTGATGCTCATCAATAGCAGATATACTTTGAGCTCGCTAAAGCTTAATTCGGGGCGTTGCAAATCTGTGAACAAGGTTGATATACCCTCAACTTTAGATCATCGGTATAAAAAGGATTTTAAAATCTAATATTATTATACATGTATAATGATATATGCTAATGACTCGAATTTTAGAAGAGAATCGAAACTAAGTAGAAACACCAATCAATCAATTAATTAAGCTTTCAAAATTAAAATCATCATCAAGCACATGGGAAGTTTAAGTTGTTATTAGAGCGAGCACAAATTTTAATGAAACAACCTCTACTTGAACAAAACACTCTTATTATGTATGTGTCATTTTTTCTTCCTTTTTTTTTCAGCCACAAGTGATATATCCCCTTTGTCAAATCTTCTTCAACAGCCAAATACCGAAAGCATTACCAAGTCTACCTACGTAACTTTGGCCAACGTAAATAAACATATCTATCCATCTCTCTGATTAGACTGTGGATACTATCTTAAAACGAAGTTCGTTTTAAAATTGTGCTTTTCAGTCTTGTCGACTAAAACGTCCACAATCAAAAAAGGTATAATTTATTCTCTTCTCCTTCATTTTATACCCTGAGAACTAACTAACTTAGAACCTTAAGTGTACTAATGAATATTTCTACTATTGAAATCCTTAGGTCAACAACATAACTAGAAGGACGGACCCCCGAGCTATATACCACCTGTGTACATATGTGAAAACGGAATTCTGCATAAACAGGTAAGAAAATTATATTCGGTGGTGACCGAATCTTTTATACGCATCACCGTTATCTTAAAAAAGACTAAAAAGTAGAAAAACTAAATTTTCATTCTCTGTAATGTGAGTGGGCGCGGCTGATTTTGGCTATTTTCAAAATAGAAATTTTTGTCGCAAAGGCGTGTAGGCGTTATAGCAAATGCAAATTTGTAGGGGATATCTTCATTTTCGTTGGCCATGAAATGTCTACCACAAATACTGCTCAGTTGCGCAGACAGACGGACGAACAGGCAGACATGTTGCCGACGAATGCTCAAAACTCGATACACTTGGTTATTTGCAAAAGCATTTTCGCGATATTTGTTGGTATTACGAGTTGGATAGTTGGAGTCGGATGTTCAAGGGGTGCAGGAATAAACAAACTTCAGGCACATGTGTCCTCTAAAGGTGGTGTTAGGCCAATCTATTCGTGAATGCCAGTTTCATATTTACATACCTACTATGAAGTTTAATTTTTAAAAATGAAGCCCTATATCTACTCTGTTTTTTTTGTTGTTGTTTTGCCTTACGTCATAAGATTTTCTCCAGTTTTCTTGCTTTATCTGAAATTATCACAAACAGGATATGATTTAATCGAAATTGCCGGTCAACGTGTTTTGTCGGTCTCTGCCGCTCTGCCTGGGGCCAGCACCAATTTTACCAACATAGACGCGTGGACGGGGACGTCTAACGTCAATTTCATACAGAAATTTTGTATTTTATCAAAACATCTATGAGTAAAAATGGTATTACTTTGCTTATAGAAAATCGTATCGTATCAAATGAATTATATTTGTATGATATATGCCATATAATCGTTACGTATAAGAAGCAATTTCATATTATAAAAAAATATGACGGCAGTTATACATAGAGGAGTTGGACATGAGCATCGCGTATACAATAACTTACCTCGTTTTTGTTTGAACCGTAAGAGCAAGAGAATTCATTCTAGCATTAAATATTTTAAGTGAGAATTCGCGTATATGTTAATATGATTTCTCTGTGAGATTATAAAGACCTGAGAAGGATGAGATTTAGTGTCCGTTCGCAGACGCGTATGCATGATTTTGTGGTGACTACTTATTCACTTAGTAATTTGTGTACATACAGTCAGTATTAATCTGGTGACCCCAGACGGAAAAGTTTTGTAATCGATCCAACCAAGCAAAAGAAAACAATTGCTCGTTCGCAAATGACCAACACCGAGCAGTTCAACTTGTATGATAGGACAGGTGCTATATCATCATAAAAATTCTCACGCGCATTTTAAGCTCCATAAAAAGGAAAAATAAAGTTGATTGTGAAGTGAAAAGCACTGTTGCGGTAGCTAAATGCAATTCTATGGAAATTTATATCGCAATGCAAACGAAATTTTCAATTAGAGCCAGATAGCAAGGCTAAGCTCTTTAAGATTGAAAAGTAATGCTTATAGATTTTTTCAAAAACACATTTTAATTATTATAACATTAAAATAACACTTTTGCAAAGAAGCATGAAGAAAAGAGATAGACAATATTGCAATACTTGCAAACGAAATCAAAAGAAGAACATTTAAGGGACATAAAAAGGAAAGAAACCAGTATTATTAAGATGGGATTTTGCCATGCATATTCATTCATAATATAGTTCGATTTTCGGGGCCCCGCGTATATATGATTGTGTATATGTCAAGTACATTGGAAAATATTGAGTTTGCGTGTGCGCTACTCAAAAGGATTTGAGTTAGGCCCGGTTTTTATTGCACCAATCGGTTCAGGAAGTGATTCAGTCTGTCCGTCTTTACGTTTGGCTTTCTTGTGTTCCACTTGCAGACCGCAAATTTGGAAATATTTTGATGAAAACCGACATATTTTGG